GCTGCCTACCTTGTCTTCTCTTCCCTCTTGATCAATGGTCTATGTCTTTTAATTCATCTCAATCCTAAGATGCGGGGAGTACAGATCTTCTCGGGGACATCCCACCCCCTTCTGGCTGAAACGATTTGTGAACGCCTGGGGACCCAGCCGGCTCGTGCTGATCTTGGGAAATTCAGCAATGGCGAGACCAGCGTAAACATTGGGGTGTCGGTGCGTAACCAAGATGTTTACATCGTCCAGAGCGGCAGCGGAAAGATCAATGACAGTGTCATGGAACTCTTGATTATGATCTCCGCCTGCAAGGGCGGGTCCGCAAAATCTATCACAGGTATGTGCGGATATACTTCCCGCCAATCCATTGTCGTTGACTGACGCATACTTCTTACTTCCAGCGGTCATGCCGTATGCTTTTACTTGACTCCATGGCTGCACGTCTGATGCTGACACAAACGAGGTACTTCCCGTACTCCCGCCAGTCTAAGAAGAAGAGCCACCGTGGTGCCATCACTGCCCGCATGTTGGCTAACCTTCTCTCGATCGCTGGGGTGGACCATGTGATAACTTTGGATCTGCATGTGAGTCACAAGGCGATCTGTCTGTTGCGCCGGTTTCGCAAATGCTTTATTGCGTGGCATGGATGGAGTTCTTATGAACGTGATCGCTAGGCATCCCAAATGCAGGGCTTCTTCGGAAAACCCGTGGATAACCTGTTCGCCGAGCCCTTCATCGCCCGCTGGATTCGTATGAACGTGCCGGGTTGGCGCGAGGCTGTCGTGGTCAGCAAGAATGCAGGAGGCACCAAGCGTGTCACCTCGCTAGCAGACACACTCAAACTCAACTTTGGCATCGTCACGACTGATAGGAGACGTCCGAAAGTACCCCTCGGTATGGCCGACAGTACCGTCTTTTTCGATTCTATCGAGGAAGAGAACACTCCCGTCGCCAAGGACAAGGATCAAGACCCTTTCACTCTCCACCTCCAAAGTGGAAGTAGTGAGTGCAGTCAATCCGACGATGCCAGGGGCGAGCCAAACAGCAACATGGAGTCTCTCGTAGCGGCAAACTACTTGCGTCCTGAAACCCCATCAGGCGCTCGTCGTCCTTCGGAGTTGGAAGCTGCACATGAGTATACTGATGTGCGGGTGCGCGAGGTCATCACTGGGCGGCTCGTGCAAGGTCACCTTGTTGACGACGACTACCCGTCAACCGGTCCTACTTCACATCCCGCTTCAGGGGAAACAACCCCGGGGCAGAGTGCCAGCCGTGATGAGCCCGAGGTCCCAGACTCAATGGTGAACTCTCTCATATCCAACACTTCTTCCCTTCCAGGCGACCATGCTCTAGGTGGCTCATTCGATGCTGCCGAATCTTCAGACGAAGAGGGCAGCAGCGGAAAGCACGTTGAGCAAGAAAAGACTATTACCTTGGTTGGCGACGTCCGTGATCGGACTGTGTTCCTTGTCGATGATATGATCGACAAGAGTAAATCCTGGACTGCCGCAGCAGAAACTGTAGTGAAGAAGGGCGGCGCCAAGAAGGTATACTGCATTGCCACCCATGGCCTTTTCACGGAGGAATCCCTCGAACAGATGGAAGCCTGTGAGTCGATCGACCACATTGTCGTCACGAATAGCTTCCCTGTTCCACCGCAGGTGGTGAAGAGGTCAAAGAAGTTGATTGTCATTGATATTTCGAGTCTTCTGGCCGAAAGCATCAGACGCCATCATTACGGTGAAAGGTTAGTCGCCTTCCGAATTTGGATACAGGATGATTGCTAATCTGTCCAAGTGTTTCGGCGTTGTTCCACCTTACTGACTGATTCGGGGTTGTCAACTGGCCTCAGCCTTCGGCATCCGAAGGGTCCTGGCGCTCCTTGCCTTCCCTTCTCTTCCAACTTCCCTCCCGAGTATCCCTGGCAGCACTATAACAAGCCCGGAGATCGGTAAGATGATGACTAAAGACAGTGACGAGTAAAATTGATGACTTCTTCCTTATTCCGTACAGCGCATGGCAACTTTCCTTGCTTCGATTTATGTGTCGCAAGCATCATCTTATGTGATGATAACATCATGATACCTTTTCTCACTCACAACTCCTGACTGAAGCTAAATTCAACCATACGGTGTGGTCATGCGACGGCTGTACATCTCAGCCAGCTACACGCCGATTATGAAGACTAGCTCTACTGTCGAATCTATCAGGACAGGGCCCGGAACCCTAGTCTCATTAGCCATTGCGATCAAGGCTGTCATTTTCCCTTGTCATTTCTGCTTTCTGCGTAGGTGCGCTCAGGCCGGTCAATTTACAATGGCACGGAAATTGAGGAAAACGTCACAACTTTACACCAGCGATGCAGTCCACTCTGGGTACTGCAAGAGCATCTTGTTGGAAAGGAGATCTGTCTCTGGACCTATTTCACAGGATGTTCTTAACGGAGCGTTGGGAGATCAATTGTCCAATCTTGTCCGGCCCATTATCTTTTCATGCCATTCGGTGTGTGACGGTAGTGGTGCTGTACAAGGTTGGCCGAGGAATGAAGGCATCAGTTTCTTGGATTTACGTCCTGCGGCCTTGGCCAGTGGAACTGATGCAAGAGAACATCTCGGACATTACAGTATACGTTAAGTGTAGTCGTTTAGCATGTACAGGTTTTTGAATATTACGATTTTGGCTTCCACATTTGTCATGAATCGATCTATTGTGGCGTGATAGTTTCGACTGTCCGCCAGCTCAGTTCCAACGCTTCCCAGGATGGGATGTCTGTATCCTTCGGGTGGAACTTACTCGAGGTTCAGCATCGTTCTAACAGGTTTGGGAGCAAAAAGAGATCTAGCCTATAGTCTCAGTAGTTTGGCTTGACAGGAGCCAGCTGAAAGACGCCTCGCACTTGCCTTCATTCAATGGCTGGCTATCAAAGGTCGTACAGCGGAACCGCCGGACAGCTGCCCGGTTCCAGTCAGTGGATATGTTCCGTATCCTTGATGATCTGGTTTAATGACAATAATAGCGGTGTGCATGAGGCCGAGTGCTGAGCGCACAACTTGTACATCTTGGTTGGCGGCAGCATTCACTGTCTGCTGCACTTGACACCGGTACCTTCCGCTAGCCGAAATGTTGATGGATGGTATCCTATGCTGATGACACCTTCCGGAAGCATTGAAAGAGGCCCCGACATGTAAACTTTGACTAATTGGCAATTGCGTGCAGACATTAGCTACGGCAGGTCAATTAAACTCTCCCCGGCCATTCGTACGTGATATCACAATCGTGGGAAAGAATGCCGTTGTTCTAGCCCGGTCGAACATGGGTCCTAAACAGCTCGTTTACAGGCGCCACCGCAGGACTACACATTTGGCAGGTCATCGAACAAATGGTGTTTGTGAAAAACTCGATGGCTGTGGGGGCGGCGCTCTTCCGGCCCTGATGATAGGAAGGTAACAAAAAGACGTATCGAGAAGCCAAAAGTACCTTGCGTCACCGGAACCGGGCTACGCAGCTCGAAGCCCAGCACCATGGGAGACCAAGTGGTCCTAGGGGCAACACTAGTAGGGACCGAAGCGCACCGGACCAGAAATATGCCCGGGAGCCACTCCCGGTAGATCAGGGAAGCGTGCAGCCAAATGTTCGAGTTTCGACTAGGGACAAATTCACCATTACCTGATTGAGAAGAAAAGCGGATGCTGTCCCCTCTGAACCCGTGAAACTAACTCAACCATTCGGAGCACCAATGCCAGTCCGGCGATATACCACCCTATTGCATTCTGGTGTTTATTGGCCCCCGACAGGGGTATCCATGGACCACGAACCGTGGAGCGCGACATGGACGACTCGGGTGTTTTACACACGCCGCACCTTTCATCCCGCGGCGTGGCTCTTCAAACATCCCCCGGGAGTTATCAGCAGGGAGCCCAGTGCTTCCGACCCAGGCTTATGCCGTGCGAAGGTTATGTAACAGTCACACATCTCACGACAGATGACAACTGCCAGCCATGTGCGTAATAATTGGCCTGAGCGCCGGGCCGAATTGCGACCCAGTCTCATGCTTGAATAAGGAGCATAAGAGGAGAAAGCTCGGGGCACTTGACGCACCGCGTGCCCATTCAGTTCATTGGCATTCAGACGCCTAGTGAATCTAGGTGCGAGCGCCCCGGAGATGTCAACTTGGAGCGACGGGCGCCTGTGATTTGCCGCGGCAATTTGAATTTACTCCTTAGCACCAGCCGGCTCTCCGACTAGATCCAGCGCCAAAGCATTTAGCTCCTCCAAATGGAGCGGACCCCTGGCATTCAGCGACTCAGTTGGAGGGATCGACGCGTCCGACTAATTTTGGTGAGCGGAGGATTTCCCGCAGGTCAACTATCCTCCGGGCCTCGCTTGAAAGTGAGGAAATTAGCAAGCGATGACGGTTTGAGAAACAGGCCAGCCGCAACGGACAAAAGTACGTGCTTGCAGGATTGGCAGACCCGTTCCTGTCACACCAGACAGAGTTTTTCTTCTGTCCTTTTCCTTGTCTTTCTATACCTCAGCTTGCCATTCCCGAAATTCCTGTGCTACTTCGAAGGTTAGTGGGCTAGTGGCTGAAATAACCTTAGAGGTATCGCTGGATACTGGACAATCCCTTCAGCAAGCCACTCCAAAACGTACCTGGTTGGCGGGCCCGCGGGTCCTCTGCAAATGCCCGGAGCGATCGGCCACGGATCAGCAAGGAGCCCGAGAAGGTAGAGACTACTTCATCAAAAAATTTAGTTGGCTGGGAAGTCTTTACCTCCAACGCCCGGAACGTTCTCTGCATCGTACATTGAGGGGGGTTGCAGGTAGAGTCAAGGATATGCAGACGGAAGGACGGGTGCAGGAGTAGAAGGTAAGAAGGGGGGTATGAATGAAAGGACGATGCGATGCAGATCTTGGCTTGAAGGCGAAAAGATATGCCTGTGTACTTGTTGTTTGTCCGGTCGGGGAATCCCTGCTGGTGATAGTGGATCGACTGTAAGAGGATGTCGATGTGTGCTCCTGTCGTGGGCCGTGAGAGGAGTCGAAATGACAGAAAAGACACTGTCAACTTGACAACCGGAGCAGCTCGGTGATGTTACAAGATCAAACAAGTTGGTAGAAGCTCAGCAGATGGGGCATCCTGATCAGATAGACCGGAGATGAGCTGGTCTTCATGGACGACACTAAGATAGTCCGGCTTTCCCAAATCGGCTGGGCATGACGTTTCTGAAAATTCAGAGTGACAAACAGGGATACTTTTTTCTGACTGAACTGACAGAGGCCTGTCTATCATTCCCCAAATATTCTCTTGGGACGTGCCCCATCCTCTACCAACCTGGTGGGAACTGGAAAATCGTCCGTCTCTGTCTCTGTACAACTAGAGACTGGGAAAGATGGAGATTAAGGGTGGAGATGAGGAGATTTGTCACAACAAAGGTAACAAACCATCTTCAGAATGGGGACTTACTTGATGCTCCATCAGGATGGCCGATGCTCTCGAGAACCAGGATAGACACAATAAACAGCGTCGATCTGCACGCCAAAGTCGCAGCGCACCGCAGGGCTGGAACCAGCTCAGCCCCCAAACGGAAGCGCATGAATCGGGAATGGGGGTCCAGATCCAGAGTCCAGGCATTCCCGGGTCGAACTTCAGCTCCTTCCCGGGGAAATCCTAATTTTAGGGGCGAAAGCTTAAAGATGCGAGCGCAGAAGAGAAAAAGCAACACACCCAAGGGCAAATTAAAAGGGAAAAAGTAATTAAGGAATAAGCGGCTGTCGCCTACAGTTCCGCACCCACTTGGTTGGGTCCACTGGCGGGCGATATATCACTTCCATCATCTCCTTCTAGACTAGGTTCCTGGATTAGCTTGTGTCGCGCTTTCCCAGACCCAGATTTGCGGTTTGACTAGGATAGGAGATGGGCTGTGATCGTGAGGATGATGTAGGTGGTCGTGTGCTTTCTTTTGCTTTTTCGGGGTCCGGCACTCACCCATGGATCTCTTTCTCTCTCTCTCTCTTTCACGGCGTAAAGAGAGGGCTGCTCTTTTTCCTACTATAATTTACTAACTACTTAATATCTTTTCTGACAGCTTATTCCCCGAATTCTCCTCATCTGCACACCCTCGTTCCTGCTACCAACCTCCCCCATATTTCTGTTTTTGTCCATCACATTCTCCTTTCACATCGCTGGATCCTTTCCTCACCTCACAACACCCTCTTCCCTGTCGCTTGTTATCCATCACTCAACTCTCTGTCGCTTTCTCCACTCAATTAATGACCCGTCGACAGCCTCGGGTACTTGCAGTTCGATTCCCTGCCGACGGCAAGAGCCATTCCATGCAGCAGACCTGCTTCTAGTCTGGACCTCGTACAGCTGCTGGGACCTTCTCTGAACAACGGTCAATCCGAAGCAATGCACCCATCGCATCACTAAAAAGGAGATGTCTCATGCGCTGGTCCAGTTTGAAACCTCGTCCTCTATATAAAGCTATGGCGACGCATCCCAAACGTCCTTTGTCTTTCATCCACCATCAACAACTACATCCTTCTTCCCTTCATCCTTCTCTTCCTTGACTCTCAGACAACTCTCTGTCGTCTTCCTCAGTTCAGGTCTTCCATTGTGTCCTGCATCTACACACTCAGGGACAACAAGGCCGTCTACTTTGCATTGCAACTTGAGAAGTTCCAGGACTTTTCATCCCTTCGGCTTCCAATACTTGACTATCGAGAATTATCTCGTATCACTGCAATTTTGCGCAGCTTACGCATAATTCTACATCCACCATTTCTGAGACAGAATTGAGTATGTGAAGGATCCTCATTATAACTTCCAGTACCTGGCAACGCGCAAATTGGAAGGATGTTAACATGCTGCAAATAGCGACGAAATGGCCAACCAATGCTCAGGTCACGTTTTCGTCATCGTGCAGGCGACAAACGGGAATATCCTTACCTGGCGATGCTCTGACTGCAACTCCGGTCCGTTTGTCGCCATCTGGCGCTGCAAGATCTGTAACCACTGTCGCTGCAACTCCTGCCACACCGCCAAAGGCTAAGAAGAATCACGTCACGCATGCTTTTTTGCCTCTTAATCGGTAAGTGTGCAAGTGGCCTGACTGCGATTTGTTTGTGGAAGGCTGTGTACCAGTTGTGAAACTATAAGCTAACCTCTGTTCCTAGTTCGATTCGTACATTTCCTGGAACTTCGAAAAAGCCTTCTGCAGCACTCCTCGCGCCATACCTGCCGAAAGCCTATCAGCCTTTTCTTGCGCGACTTGACTTTAATTAATTTTCCCATTTCGTTTGCTTCTCCATTCGGTTCGGTTTCTCCTGCAACTCGTTAAAAAAATCTTTCCCTCCATCTCTGAGGCATACTGCGCATTGTCCCCTCGGTTTGTTGGCGTTCCAGATCGGAGTAGGGTCGACGGAAGAGCGCCTCTCCTTTGTGGCCTGGCCCAATCGGATATCTTCCTATTCGGGCCAGATCTCAATCGATCAACATCAAGCTGTGGCTACCTGGTTGTGATTTGATACCACTCGATGTCTCGTGACCAAAGGAGATGCGTCTGAGCCTGTAACTGCAAACACGGTGCAAGCAGTGTTTCCCCCCATTCTCCACCACTAATATCGTTCTCTCCACTCGTTTTCCGCCCCCTTTCGTGCTTTGCCATCGATTCTTATGTTGCTTTCCCGACGAAAAGTCCCAAAAGTCCTTCTGATGCTGAGCCACGGCCGGAATTTCATATGTCCACGATCTACTTTCGCCACAAAAAGCAGCATCGCTCTGGTGTTCAGGGTTCCGAAACAAACGGTCTGTTGGTGATTCAATTCCAATGCCGGCGCCTCCTTTCAGAGAGCCTTGCATTCCTTGTCTTATTACAATCGGCCCTTTCTTTTTCTATTTGTTTACTGAAATATCTTTTTCTGTGCGATAGAGATGACTTATAGATCCTTATCAGGAATACAATGCGGCAACGCAAATTTAATGGCATTTGGAACTCCCTTCACAATTCCGTAGACACATTCCCTTTCCTTGGCAAATTCCAAATACGCTAAAAATGACATGACACACGAAGATCCCCAGACTTGAAATAACTAACATACTTTACGATAAACAAACTATCTATTTGACCCAAATTAAATTTTATCCCCGTCAATAATTTCCCCACTAATAATAATGACAATTCCTTAATGACAAGCAAAAGTGGGCCGCCGCGCCCCGGCCTCCTTCCGACCCGCAAAAATAGGGAAAAGATGAGCCACACCCACCAAACACCAAACAGGAAATTTGCACTTTAAGTCCAACCAACTCAACAAGTAGACTACCCCAGTCAGCTTAACTTACCAAATCGGGTGAGTTGCATGATGTATCGGAAGTCAATTCGAAAAAGAAAATAACAGAATAAAAGAGAAAAATAAATAAATAAATATCACTTGAGGATATAGTTGATTGGTTTGTTAGTAGTTTGACTAGTTAATAAATAAATACTACCTAACCAACCTACGGATAGTAATTACTCTACAGTTACTTAGATGAGTTTAGTTAGTAAGTAGAAGTCGTGGCGTGTAAAAGGTCGTCGACTTTTTCTCTCTTAGGCTTTTGTTTTATTTTAATCATTATTTTACTACCGAATCATCTACATAGTACATACATACTCTAAGTAGTACTAGATACTCATTACCAGGAAACATAACCGGGGCTATCTATCCATCTATGTGTCTGTCATGTATGCGCAACGTATGTATGTATGTATGTATGTATGTATGTATGTAAATGTAAGTATGGAAGGGGAAATAAGTGAGGCCTGCTTGCCTGCTTACCAGGTAACTACCTACCTACCTACCTACTGTAAGCCCTACACTAAAGTATGTGAGATATCAAATCCCGAATACCAAAGTGGGAAATAGGACGATATGCATGTGTGGGGAGAGAGAGAGAGAGAAGGAGAGAAGGAGAAGGGTGGATGGTGGTTCCGAATAAAACATCCCTTGCAATTAGAGTTCAGGGAATTCTCTAAATAACATGTAGGTAAGTAGGTAGGTAGGTAGGTAGGTATGGATGATTTATCCACTTTTTCTTGATTCACGGGGTAAGATACTTGGGATAGACATGCTTGGGGATGTATGTATGTATTTATGTATGTACTGTTCTTGGTTGCTGGTCTTAGGTATGTATCTCTTTCACTTCCTCGGACTTTCAGTCTCTCTCTCCCTTCTCGTTCACCCACTACTATTACTACTACTACTACTCCTACTACTACCCCTTGCGTGGAAGGTTCATGTACTCCGCATCGCAGGTAAACTTTCATTGCTTACTTTGCTTACTATTCCCGGAGGGGTGGGTTGAGTTGGGCACTATGGATCATTAGAATTTAAGTAGGATGGATATAGAATTATGGAATGGATGGATGGACCATGGGCTTGGGATGGGGATGGGGATGAGACGGGATGGAATGGCAGGAGGGTCTGGCTGATCCGTGGTGTGGGCACGGGCCCTTTCGGGGTGGAGGTTAGTCTAGTCTCTATGTAGGTAATCTTCTAGACGGTTCGTTTTTCTCCTTTTCTTTGCTCCTCGAGGTTTAGTCTGTGGCGTCGGTGGCGGGTATGATATTGGTATGTACTATTAGGCACTAGGTATGTAAAGCAAGTACAACCTGTTGATTAACAATCGGTACCCGTGCTGGGGGCAAAATTCTTCTCAGGTGTAGATACTCTGTAGATGAGATTTGTGATACGTTAGCTCATGTTTCACACATAAATCGGTAAGTAGGTGGTAGGTAGGTAGTATCACCTCTGTGATCTGATTCACCGCCAATCCAGGTTCGGCCATGTTGGCATCCTTCAAGAACTCCAGTGGCATCCAGACCAGATGGCCCTTGATTTTATCCAGCTTCTCGCGGATTTCATTGACCGGCTGGAAGGGATCAAACAAGTGGCCTTGTTTAATGCCGCGGGGACAGATTCGGTCGTAGTCGTCGAATGTGCGGACGTTGTCGTCGGGGTCGGCGCGGAATAGCATGCGGTACATGTCGGTGTTAACGGTGGCGCGGCCGGTCCACATCTCCCAGAGCTCGTCGCTCATAGGATCAGTGACGAAGTCGTCTTCGGGTCCCTCGAGGATGTGGTTCATGCACATGTAGGGGGGCTTTGCATTCGGGTCTTCAGAAGCGTCATAGTTCTGAGCGGGCAGCAGGCCAAGGTGCTCCCGCCAGAGCTGGCGACGGAGCGTGGCAGCGACACGGGCGGCCTTGTACGGTTTGCCATCCATGGTGCTGCCGATGAAGTCTTGGTCTTCAACAACAATAGCAAGCTCGCTATCATGGTAACCAAGTTGGGACTGCTATCGGTCAGTATCGCGTATATGAAGGTTCAGGACGGGGGATATATACTCTGTCGTTGATGTTGGCACTTCCACAAATGACAACACGGTCATCGACAATGCACACCTTGCCATGCACGTAGAGCTCTTCCTGGATGAAATTCTCCTTCTCGTCCTCAGGATTGCCCTCCCACGGCTCATCGGACATCTTGCCGCCATTGAGCATGGTAGTGTGGGCGACGGAGTCGCTACCCTTGAGGCCCTCCAGCTCCTTGTGACGCTCATGCTGCTCCTCGTACTTGCGCAGCCGTGCGAGACGAACCTCCTTCTCCTGTTTTGCGTTGTCATACCCCACTTCATGCTTGTCGCCCTCTTTGCCGATAGCCGGGTGGACACTGTCACTCATGATAGACTCGGCAATGCCACGCTGAACATCGTTGTAAGTCACGCCCGCCTCGGACTCCAACTTGACCAGAGCAGGAGTCTTGTTGATGCGATCGTATGCGCGCAAGTTGAACAGGAAAACGTGTTCTAGCTACGTCAGCTTGCGTCTCGTACGGACGGAAAGTGCACCTTACCTCTGGGATTCACGCCTTGGGCGGAAATCTGGCCGAAGATGGAGTGTTCACCGCGCAAGATCGACTTGTACTGGTAGTCCATGATGGCGCGGGTGCCTGTCGCTTCATTCTGGCGGAGGTCTCCCGCAAATCCAGGGATGGCGGGAATCACGATGATCACTCTGAACTTTCTTCCCTCCTTGGCAGCTCTGACAACGGCCTCGACGATGGACTGACCAATGGTGTTGAGGATGGGCGCCTGTTTGTCTCCCGTGGCAGTGACTTGATGGGGTTAGCAGTTGGTGCAGTGCTCAGGGTGAACAATCTTACTGAAGAACTGATTCTCAATGTAGACATAGTGCTGAGCCTGACTGATGATCTCCTTGTAAGCATTTTGGATGCTATGTTCCGTCAGAATTCCACTGCTCCAGTCGGCGCTACTGCGCACGATCTGCGCCCGTGCAAAGCCTTGCTGGCCGAGCGGCTTCGTGTCGAGAGGCGTAAGAGGGTGCTGCAGGTACTCGCCGCACGGGAACTTCGGACGCTGAACAGCAACCAGATCTTCGTCGTCTCCAGTACGACCCTCCAGCATCAGCCAGTCCACACTGTCGTCCCGTTTGTACTTGTCCCGCTTGATGAAGTTCCACCGCAGGACGAAGTGCTCTGCGATGTCATACACACAGTCACCCATCACACCCATGGCGACGTCGTGCCAAGGCATTCGACCATACTCAGCCTTGCTAAGCTCGTTGGCCTGCCAGTCGCCCACGCTCTGGAAATCCATGATGCGGTTGTTGTTGAATTCCTGTCCGGGGAAGACCTCGTTCCGCAAGTTCGAGGGGTGGACGTCGGCCAGGGGATGCTGATGAGCGTCCCATCTTCCGAAACACAAATCAATACCTCCAATGAACGCCAATGCGTAGTCGATGACAATGAATTTCTCGTGATGCGCCTGATGAAGTTAGCACGCGCTGCCGGCTGCTTTTGGACACGTACTCACCCAGTACAAGGTCATGTCAGCTGCATTCTCGAAGATGTTATGATCCGGATGGCGCAGGACTTTGATGTTTCCGTAACCAGGGCTTCCTTCGGGACAGAGATTGCGAAGCGCGTGCTTGGTATGAGCGGAGTTGCAAGTCAATGCTTGGTTGACCTAGTCCCTTTTAGCAACCCCATTCGCGAGGCGAAAGACGTCCTGACTAACCTCCTTGTACACAATCACGTAGATTTTGACGCCCGCCTCGGCGCGACGCTTGAGAATCTGATCCAACCGCCATTCCTGGGCCATGAACGGGGGTCTCCGGAGGAACAATTCAGGAGACAACCACCAGTCGGCAATGTAGATGGTCTCTTTGGCCTCCTCTAGAGCCATTGAGACAGCCCACAAGTAGTCCAGAGCATCGACGTACCACTTGACCTTGTTACCCTCACGGATGGGCGCAAACGACTTGAAGCGGTGGGATTCGGAAATCGCGGTTCGTTTCGCATCGGTAGCCTTCTCGTGCGCTTCATCATGGCGATGATTGGGGTTGACAATGTTGAAGAACTTGCCGACTTTGTGCTTGAGGTGGAAAGCCTTCTCCTCGATGTGGGTTTCTGTCGGGAGGGAGGGCGGTTAGTGGGATTCAAAGCAGCGGAGACAAGAACGACCTTTGAACTGCTCCTCCAAGTTCTCGATCTTATGCTTAAACTTGTCCATGATGGCGGGCGTAACCAGATCGACAGCCTCAGGGAGAGAATGAGGGACTGGGGGGGGAAGAAGAGGAGGGGAAGCAGAACAATTGTTGGAGCAGTCGCCCTGTAGGGACGGAAAATGAGGGGGAGGGAAAGAAAGCTGGGCTCCACCACACGAGGCCGATGGAGCTAGAAACTTATCGGTTGCGATGCTGCCTGGAACCGCTGAATGAATTGATGTTTCAGATCGGCGGATCGGCGGGGGTCAGATCCAGAGGTCAGAGCAGCCGCCGTGCAAGAAAAACCAGTTTCCACTTTCCAAAGATGCATTGGAGAGGAGGAAGAGTACATAGTAGTAGTTTAGATCGGGCAGTAGATTTGGCAGATGAAATCCAACGCGAGCATGACATCACTGCCTGAGTGCCTGAGTGAATTCCCCCTCTTCTTCCCAGCCTTATCGCCTCGGGCACAAGACGTCGTCACTCATTACGGAATACCGGCCATTTCCATTCAGCCTTCCGTGATCTTGTCTCTGCCGCACCACCAGAATTTCCCTGTTTTCAGCCAACGCCGTCTCGGAGACTCCGTCTGGGCATTCTTCTCGAAAGCAAGCGATAGGTCGCCCAGCGATAGCGTGCTTCTACCGTATCGGGGGAGGATTTCCGGTAAGCTCCACCCGCTGCCATTGGTTGTGTCCAGCACCACACAGTCCACTGTGCACGATGCCCGTCCCTGACCAGTGGCACAAGGCACTAACTTTTTCACCACTAGTAGCACACAATGAGGGCCTCACGCAATATCTACAAGGATGAGGTTGACTTCACGGCCCTTGCCTTGCAGTCTCCCGAGTTTGCAAAGTAGTCAGTTCCATTCGGTGCAACCTGTGTGTTCCTTTTCATCTCCAACTCACTAAAACTTCTCCAGCTTGAAATCCAATGGGCAGCTGGACTTTAGCGACCCGGACGCTGTTCGGTGGGTCGGAGACTAACCTGAACGGTAGCTTCAATTGCCACTGACACGTACTCAGTCAATTGACCAAGAGTCTGCTGCAACGCGACTTTGAGCTGAAAGTCGAGATTCCGGAGAATCGATTGTGTCCACCGGTACGTCTGCCAGCTGCTGCCGATGTCCGTTCCTGCAGCTAACAAGGACACGTGCAGGTCCCGAATAGGTAAATGAATGGCCTGTCTATGGACTAGTTGCATGGTGTAATGCATCTAACCCCAGTATAGACTCAACTACATTCTGTGGCTGCAAGACCTGCTCGACACCACTGGCGATGAATACCGTGACAACTATAACCCTGACCGAGAAGTTATTGGACTTGACATGTAAATCACCACTCCACCTTCGGAGAACTCGGTCGCTAACCCACTAGTGCAGTGGGACAGGATGTTGCAGCATCTACCCTCTGCTAGGTTGTTCCATGCGACCTCATTGGCGCTTCGTCGCAACAGGTATGTTCACAGACTATACTGTTTGCGCACTCACTCACATACGCAGACATCGACAATGACAATATCCGAACATCGCGAGATACAGTCTCTGCGAACAAACTCGAGTCTCGCATTGAGATCATCCAGACTGACCCGAAGGATGAGCTGATTCCATTAGACTCGAAGCTCAATGTCGACAGGTAACTACAACCCCCACTCCTACTATCCTATACAACTAACCCAATACAGACTCGACTTCACCATGTGCAATCCCCCATTCTACGCCTCGCGCGTTGAATTAATAGCTTCCGCAGAAGCCAAAGAGCGACCTCCCTTCACAGTATACCAACCCTCTCCCTCCTCCATCCTCCTCACTAACCCCAACAGGCCTGCACCGGCGCCGAGGTAGAAATGGTGACCACAGGCGGCGAAATCGCCTTCATCACACGTATGATCGAGGAAAGCCTGCACCTCCGCGAGCGAGTAATCTGGTACACCACCATGCTCGGCAAGCTAAGCAGCGTATCTGTCCTCATCGAGACGCTCCTCGAACACAAGAACAACAACTACGCCGTGACCGAATTCGTTCAGGGCAACAAGACCCGAAGATGGGCCATCGCCTGGTCATGGACCGATCTCCGTCCGACAGTCGTACGATCTATCCCTCTATATCCCATTCCCCCAAACATTAAACCTAACAACCATTTAGTCCATAGCCCGAGGCACCACCGCCATCCCCAAACACCTCCTTCCCTTCCCCTCAGAATACATCTTCACGACACAGTCCGAGTCCATCGACGAAATCAGCAGCAAAATAGACACCGAACTCTCCGCCCTGCATGTCCAATGGCTCTGGCGCAAGAACCTCGCCACAGGAGTGGGATTCGCCATGCAGAACGTGTGGTCTCGACAGGCGCGTCGCAAGATGCAGAACCCGGATGCGATGGCTGAGATGGGGGAGACTGACGAGACGAAGGCGGCGCTGGGGTTCAAGGTGCAGGTGAAGAAGGATGCGATTGATGAGAAGGGGGTGAGGGTGATTGTGAGATGGCTGAAGGGAAGGGATACGGTCTTGTTTGAGAGTTTCTGTGGGATGTTGAAGAGGAAGGTTGAGAGTACTTAGTTATCTACAAGTATAGATCCGTAAATGCACCCTGAGTCTCTATTACAGATTAGACTCAACCGAATGAAATAAACAAATGAACTCTCATAAATGATCTATGTATATGCTGCTTCTGCTCTCGCAACCGCAATCAAAAAGAAGAACAGTAAAATACTTTTTTCTTTTAGAACATCCGTCACATATCCAACCAACCAATCATCACCATCTACTAATTACTCCCCACCTCACTCTGCAACTCCTTCAACCTAGCCCACCCCTCACTATCCTCCCAAAACTCCTTCCCCTTACCCAGAATACCTCTAACCGCACTCCTCGCCTTGAACCTCCAATCCTTCGCGACCATCTCCTCCGTACCCTCCTTATCCATCGGACCAAACCGCGCATACCCATCGCGCACCAACCTCTCCGTCGCCCGCACAATCTCCATCCACCTCTTCTCATCAGCCATCTGGAACGCGCCCTGAGATGCCGAAGCAACCGTCGCGCGCCACGCCTTCTCATGCGCCTCGAAGGCCATGCTCGGGCGTTCGCGGAACACCTCGACTCTCGCGACGAGGAGCCACAGCGGGGCGGAGTGGGTGATCAATGGCACAATGCTGGTATCGACGAGCGAGAGGATCTGGCCGGCGATGGTACCGCTGCGGACGACCTTTGCAGTGGAGTCGTCGCCATCGATGGAGATGAGGAGGTCGGAGTAGTTGTATGCGGTGACGAGGTGGTCGACGAGCAGCCCTATGATGGGGAGGTCGATGCACTTCTCGCCGTTCTTGGAGCCGTGGAGCTCGATGACGCGGCGTTGGGCGGTGATGACTTCGCGGAAGGGAGTGAAGGGCGGGGGAATTGAGGCTGCCACTGTGAGGACGTTGTCCCAGATGCGGACGTCGCTGTGTTTGAGTTGGGCGGCGCGTTGGAGGGCCGCTAGGGCTTCACGCTTGCGTTTGTAGGGGTCCTCGGGGGCGGGTTGGCTGGGGACTTCTTCGTCTTCTTCGTCGTCGGCCTTGGCGGGAGCCTCGGTGATGGGGGTGGGGAAGGGTTCGGTTGATTCTGCAGGTTTGGGAGAGCGCAGGATCGCGGCAGCCAGGTTACTCCAGGCTTCGGCGTCGGTGTCTTCGAGTTGGACGGTGCGGGTGAAGGAGTCGATGGCGTCGTCCCATTTCTGGAGCTCCAGTTGCACGCAGCCGAGGGCGAACCAGGCACCGTGGTTGAGACGGTTAATGTGGAGACTCTTGAGGTAGGCGTCTTCGGCTTTGTCGAGGGCTGGGGGCTTCAGGCTGAGGTAATGACGGGCCAGGGAGCGCTGGGCGCGAGCGTATCTGTTGTTGGAGACTGCCCAGGCGCGCTCATACATGGCTGGGTCGGTGTCGATGTCACCCAGGATGCAGAGGAGGCGGGGAGCATCGGCGGGGAGAGGGGAGAGTTCGGGTCCGTCGAACTTCTCGTTCTCGTCGTCGGGGTCCGTGCCGGTGGGTTGGTAGAGCTGTCTGCGGACGAGGTACTTGGCCTTGTCCTCCCGTTCAGTGGCGGCGTAGCAGAGAGCGGCCTCGGCCCACATCTGTAGACGCTCGTAGATGTCCAGAGCAGTGCGCAGACCTCCAAGGTTGACCCAGCGGGTGGCGAGCTCGGCCTCCAGGCTCCAGCGGGTGGAGAAGCTCAGGATCCAGATGTACTCCAGACGCTCGGCGGCGGAGGCGGATTCCGATTTCTCGGGTCGAGGAAGGAAAGTAGTGGGCTCGTCGACGGACGTGCCTGCTTGTTCATCGGAGGTGGCGGTGTCGGCGATGACCTGGTCGACGAGAGCTTGCATCTGCAGGACGGATCTCTCGACAGTTCTGGCTTTGTAGCCCTCGACTCGGCTGCGTACCAGCAGGGCCTGAGTGTAGATCTGCCAGTTCGAGCTGCCACCCTCGAGCACGCGGGTCGCGTACGGCTGCGTTTCCTCTCGGGTGAGACCGTTCTCCGGTGCGGTGTTTGTGATGGCAGATGCGAAAGCGAGGAGGATAGCAGAGTCGACGGGGTCAAGCTTGGGCTGGTCGCCGGGATCGAGAGATGCCAGGGCAGGAGGGAGGTTTGACTCCTCCTGGACGGTCACTTGTGTATCGTCGGATTTCTGACCATCGGGCTTGGTAAAGGAGATAGACTCGAGAAGAGTGTCATCATTGAGATCCAGCTTCTTGGGGACAGAGGGCTTGTCGTCCGATTCCGCGGCGGCATCGGCGCTCTTGGCCAGGATAACCAGCTGACTGATATCGCGGTCCTGGAACTTGGTTCTCTTTCCGAGCTTACCAGTCAGAGCGAACTCGAACTTCCGTTCCGCGGCAGCCTGTTCGAGATCCTTTCTGGCCTTCGCATCAAAGCTGTGGTGGGTATGGATTGTAGCTCTTTCGAGAAGGAACCGACCCTTCTCCTGTGCAGTGCACTTGTCGCTCAGAACGAGCTTTTCGAGCTCCTCCAAATCGGCATAGATGGAATCTTGCAGCGCGCCAGTGACTTCCGACAGCATCTTCTGGTGAAGGAAGTTGACACGGACCCTCACAGTCCTAGCCACCAACGGACCGTT